TTATTTGCTGGGCACTAGCCAGTTTATGTCCTAAATTGGGCTTTAAGCTCCTAAAGACCAAATCCATCTTCTGGTACTCATAGTACCCTTGCCTACTGTCCTATATATGATCAATCAAAAAATACATTAGTATTTTTTCTACCCCCAGTATCATTATAATAAAATCAATCACAGTTGTATTTTTTCTTCCTAATAATATCAATGACAAAATCAAAGTACACCTGTAATAGAAGATTTATAAACAAAGTTTTATTAAGAACTAAAGAAACATTTAGAGGCCAGCTGCAACACGGCTCATATTTAAGAAAAGCAAACTGTTGTCAGTTCCCTTTATGTGACGTCAGAGTGATCTTGGTAGATGTTCCAGATCTTGAGCATGGGCTGGTGTCTATCTAGCATTTGAGTAGTGCAATTATAGAACATTTCCACCACTGTGGAAAATTCTGTTGGAGGGATTTGTGCAGTGAACAGTAGGAGACTGTTCTAGATTGGGATGCAAATAATTAAAGAGTGACAGTGGTCACATAGAAAGTTACTGTTACAGGTAATAGTCCAGGTAATGATTTTTTGCATAATGAAGTAAACTCAGAAATATTTAATTTTTTAATTTAATTTTGGTACCAGGGATTGAACTTGGGTCCTTGCTCTTGCAAGGCAGGTGGTGGAAACACTGAGCTAAATCCCTGGCAGACAAACATTTAAAATATAATGCTAAAGCCAGTTCTAAGCAGTTGATTAGTGTGGCCCCAGAAACAGTTTGCTGGGGGCAGTGGTGGGTTAGTAAAAGAGCACTGTTCTAGGAGTAAGAAGCCCTACTGGTAGCATGGAACTTCCCTTCTTAATTACTTGGAAGACCTTCTGCAAATCACTTAGACTCAGCCTGGAAACACAGTAGGTGTTATTGTAAGCTATTATTCTATTTCCTTTTTTTTTTAGGGCTCTCCAATTTTAAAATGTTTCCTTTTAATTGGGTCTGTGGGGAAAGTACAATTTTTAAGTAAAAATTAGCTTTTTTACTGTATATGTTTAAATATACAGAAAACTATATTTAAATATACTGTCCAACATGATGTTTTGATAACCTTTCTTAAGTCCTTTTCCCAAGTCTGTCTAATCTCACATATGCAGTCACCTGAGAATTAGATTCACTTTTTTTTCCACGTTCTCCCCATGCCACTCTTCTGTGCGGAAGTTCTACCCTTTTTCTTGAGAGTGGAAGCTGCCAACCCTTACACCCAGCCATTTGGCGTTTTCTCTAAGAGTCAAAGCTTTGCTCCGCCTCAGACCACTGAGAAAGGGAAATCTTTGTCCACTACATTGGAAACGTATAAAAAATAATGTACCTTGGGGAAGAAACAGTCACTTTTTAAAAATCAGATCTCATTCTTCTCTTAAGAGAAAGTTTTTAAGAAAATTCACTTCTTCAGCTCACTTTGTTACTGGTCTCAGGACATTGGCAGTTTAGATTCCACAGGCTTCAACTCTGAGGCAGCTGCAGTGGCCCCGGAGTCCAGGGAGTGAGACATTGGCCTCTCACTCTTGGTCCTTGTAGTCAGCCAGCCCTCTGGGGAGAAGGGGGAGCTGGACTCTGCCTAATGATCAACTTTCAGTTGTTTGTAATTTTCTCAAAAAAAAATAAATATTCCAAGGCTACAATTTTTCATGCTTGGTCTCAACCTCAGAAGTGTGTTTTGTTGTTGTTGTTTTTGGAAGGTTCCAGAAACGGCTGTTGGGAGGTGATTATTTCAGTGGGGACTATGTATGTCAACAGTGAAACTTCACAGATATATTTTCTTTTCTTTTTTGTGTCCAAACTATCCTTAAAAATGGCAAGTACTTAGATCTCAGTGAGGAATTTATGGCAAAAATTCATTTTCCTTTCTCACTGCTTTTAATTTCTGTTTTCTTGATTTCTCTCATTTTTCTGAGAAAATTCATAAGAAAATAAGATCAGGATCCAGACATATGTTACCTTGCCAAGAAAAATAACAGGCCTTACTGTTGACTTTATTGAACTTTGAAATTGTTTCTTGCTCATCTTACAGTGAGACAAAGTTACATTGCGGTTAGATTCTCTAGCTTGAGCTTTATTTGCTTTAAAACAAAAAATGTTAAAATTTTCAGATACCTAAATTTCTGGAATGGGCATATTTGTAGACTAAATTAACTACATAACTTTGTCCAAGAAATCACTGTGTTTCTATAGGCGATAAATAAGATATATTGTGCCTTCAGTGATCCCCCACCCCCATTTTTTTCCCAGTTCTGTTTTTACATGAGACCCCAGTGTCCTGCTTTGGGGTCGTTAAAATGGTACCTGTTGTGGGGATTAATGAGTTCTTTCTCCGTCTTTGAATACCTGCTTCTTCTCACTCCCCTACTACCATACATTCTTTTCTTCCTACTGCGTTTAAAGTAGGATGGTGGCTGGCAGCTTAGTGGGGTCTGTTTCCATTTTGAACTTTATGAATTACCGAAGGTGTAGGACTAACAGGAATTGTTTGGCTTGCACTCATTAAGCAGGAGGGGGCCTGGGCTGAATTTCCTCAGTAAAACCTTTGTTGGTTTTACAACCTCAACACCTCTGTAGCCACCCTGTGCTCAGTAAGAAATGGCCCTCTGTACCTCTTTGTCTGCTTGTACTTTTCTTGCTCTTTGTTCCTTCTTATTCGTTTTCTGTCTCCCTCTCTCTCTCTCTTCCTCCACTCCTTCCTCTCCTCTGCCCTCCCCTTCCTTGGTGCAGGGAGGAAACAGTTCATATCAGTCTCTTTACGGAGCTGGGGAAATGGGAGTGTCACCAGGAAGTTAGTTTTTAAAACCCATAACTGGGAACTCATGTAATCTATATTAACGTTACCTCATTGGGGAAAAGTAGATAATTAAAACAAGGATCTGGAAAATCCAGAGGACACCCAAAGTTTGCTTTTTGATATGAACTTTTTCTATAGAAACCACTGTTCTACCTCACCCTTATTCCGATTCTGTTAAACACCCACTCCACTATGCAGAGTCCCGATATTTAAAATGAGACACGTCTTCTCCGTGGTTGGAAGCACAGAGCTTTGCAAGCAGAGTAACCTGAGTTCCCATGTAGGGCCACGATTAAGTGACCCTGGGCAAGTTACTTAACTTCTGAAACCCAGTTTCTTCACCTGAAAATGGGGGTAGTGGTCCCCACATTGATGTGAAGATAAGTGGGGGCACCTGGTGTAAAGAGCTTAGAGAGTCTCTGGAGCAGTAGCAGGCACCACTCTTTCCTGCTGCTACTGCTCTTCTCATCCAGACTTACATTCTTTGAAGCTTTTGTGAATTTCACTTTGCTAGTAACTAGTAAAGTGATCCGTTCATCTACCACCTTGTCTGAAAAAGAGCAATCGTTCTCTTGAGAATGCTCATTGGGCAGAGGATATGTGGCCCCATTATTCCTTCAGAGGCCAGGCCAAAGTGAAAAGGCCTTGGAGAAGTGAACAGTCTAAGCAAATCCCAAGCACCTGCAGTCACAGAGCAGGAGCTGCAAGCCCCCATCCTGCAGTACCCCCGTCAGGAGTATTTGGTGTTGAAAGGCTTGGGACCCTCAACCCCACAGGCTGGCCAGCTCAGTCAGACAGCTTGACTTCTCCGGTTTTCAGTGGTGACTGTAAATCTCCAGAAGAATCTCTGGTCAGGTAAACTGGTCTTAAAGAATTAATATTTTGAATGTATGTACTTTCCTAGAAATACACTGTAAATATTGCCACATGCATATGTTCATTCAGTCATTGTCATGCTGCTTTGAATCTTGTTAGGGTTTACTCTGATGCCTTCTATCTCATAAGGATTTTGATCCACTTTCCTTACCTGCTGATGGTCTGTAAATGGATCAGTGAAAAGCGCAGAGGAAAAACCTTGGGTTCGGTTGTAGCAAAAGAGTGTGTGTGTTAGAATGTACTCTAGCCTCTGTGGCTTTTATGAGTTTTCTGAGAACCATCCCTTACAGCAGGCGGCATAAACGAATAATATCATGAAAGGAGAGAACTGAATGTTCTAGGCAGGTGGCGGGGAGCTGAGATTTATCATCAGGCAGCTGGAGGTTCAGTGTAGTTCGATCCCCAAAGGAACATTATTCTGAGTAGAGATGCAGTTGTCAAGAACACAGATTTTGTAGAAATGGAAAACTCCAGAATTCCAGCCCCGGAGCAGAGAGAATAGAAGCCTTAAAGTCAGACTGCAAGGCTCTGGACCCTGAGGAGGCGAGGAACACTGGCTGATGATGTGTGACTTCTAACTGCTTAGACTTGGGGCAGTGCAGGTTACAGGCAAACTGAAGAGCAAGGAGGGCAGGTTGATTTCAGGAATGGAAGAGAATTTTCAGGATTAGAGGAATAGAGCCAAGGTAAGGAAGATCAAAGCAGATCTTTCATGAGTCACTAAGACTTTATGACTTATTAATGAGGAATATTTTTGAAAAGTGGAATTTAGTTTGCACACATACGCGCGCACATGGGACAGTGCTGTCCCATGGTGGTATACACTAGCACATGACTTGCATGTGGTGGCCGTGGATATTAGGCCTCTGGCAAAGCAAACAGAAGAATAATTTTGTGTGGTCCAGCATCTGCACTAGGTACTCACTGCCTATGCCCTGTACATAGCTAAAGCCCTCCTTCTCTCCATATGCTGGATACCCTGTCCTTTTTGCTTTTGGTCACCTGGGCAGAGCTGTAGCATCCTTACCATAAGACAATCCCCTCCTCACTCAGAACACCTGATGGAGGAGCTTCTTTTAGATGAGAAATGGCATGAAGGTGTCCTTTGGTCTTCCAATGGCCAGGGTTCCACTCCTATGTTGCCAGCAGATGGGGTGAGGGATGAAGCCAGGACCTTTGGCTGTCACAGGGCATCCAGACATCCTCACCATGGTGTCTTATTTTTCTCTCTCACACAACAGTGTTGCAGTGTTGTCATACAGGGCATCCAGACATCCTCACCATGGTGTCTTATTTTTCTCTCTCACACAACAGTGTTGCAGGAGATTGTGGTGTCTTTATGAGTGACACCGGTGGCTTACGGGAGTTGGCTTCGGACCCTCTGTGACACACTGTGCTTCGTGGGACAATGAGGAAGCTGAGAGAAAAGAGGCCTGAGGTCACACTTGCTTGGCTCCTCTTTGCCACAGCAGGCTGCCTTGCCAACTTGAGTGAGTGCTCCCCTCTTTGCTCCTTGGTGGCCCCTCCCAGAAGACCTCTCTCCTAAGAGCAGGTGGAAGCGAGAAGTGGTGTGGAATAACTCTTTAGAAAGAGCACTTCACTTCCACCAGCCAGCAGGGTCATGCACAGAATACCAAATGGGAAGTGGGAGTGACAACATGATATTGGTTAGTTTTTAGTATTTTATTCATTTTAAAGATGTAGAGAAGACAAGAGGGAGGAATAATATAACTGCCTTTTGTTGTATATTTATGAGATGAGATCATGGCATTTATATACTGTATAAGTCTCCTGCTTACAAAACATTATTAGCCTCGTTTTACAGCTAAGAAACAGACTCAAAAAGGCTAGAATGAAATGACTCAGAAATAGGCACTTTGGGAATCAGTCCCAAGCCTGCCCAACTCCAGAGCCTCAGTGCTTGCCTGTTCAACACACTGCAGCCCCAAATCTAAACTCTGGAAACAGAGGAAGGTAAGGGAGTGGGCAAGGGCCACTGGACTCCTCATAGAAGGATCACCCCCTCTGGGTTCTCGATTCTGGGAAGCTGCCTGAGTGCTGTCCTTCTAAGAAGGTGAGGCTGTCAGTTTGGGGGCATCCTTTCATTGCTGTGCCCCTGTTCTTTCTCCAGATGAGGTCCCTCGGGTCACCGTCCAGCCTGCATCCACAGTCCAGAAGCTTGGAGGAACTGTGAGCCTGGGCTGTGTGGTGGAACCTTCGTGGGTGAACGTGACCTGGCGCCTGAACGGGAAGGAGCTGAATGGCTCAGATGATGCTCTGGGCATCTTCCTCACCCAAGGGACCCTCGTCATCACTGCCCTCAACAACCACACCGTGGGACGGTACCAGTGTGTGGCCCGGATGCCTGCCGGGGCTGTGGCCAGCGTGCCAGCCACAGTGATACTAGCCAGTGAGTTTGCCATTCTGCTTGGTGTGGTCCCAGCTGCTCTCTCCCACTCTCTTTCTACCCCCTGTCATTAGTCATACCCTGAAAGGGGCCTTGATAGTTGAAATTTCAAATCAGAAGACGGTAGCTGCCCACCAGGCTCAAGATGGTGGGGGCACCATCGTGTCCTTGGGAAGTGTGACTCTGAGTGGGAGTGGTGTCTAGAGTGAGCCTCTCCAGAGGGCAAACTGTCCGGGGACCCCAGAGCTGGACCACACTCCTCCTCCTCATTCTGTCACCCCATTTTAGGTGCGGTGTGCTAGTTGCTATCTCATCCCCCTCCCATGCCGCTCACCCGTTCTCGGGGGTCACAGACAGAGTATTTACCGGAACTTGGTAACTGAGTCTGCCCATTCCTGACTTGGAGCGTGGCTCTTTGTGAGGGGCAAGCATATTCCAGTGCCTGAAATATAAATCATAGAGCATAATGGGAAGGAAGCTGTGTGACAAAGGGCTGAAGAAGAGAGAAATAAGACATTAGGTGACAGTTTGATGCAAGACGTCACACTTTTTTTTTGAGTTTTACTTTTATTGTACTCAGTATATGGTAGCTTTTAAAAAATAATTGTCTATAGACTTCTTGCGATATGCAACCCATGTTATGTCTGAACTCTATTTTTTCTGATTCTTACATTATACAGAACATAGGTCCTCAGGCTAATGTAGGATAACCAAGGGCCAAATGGCTTCAAATGGCTCATTCTGGCTGATTCCATTTTCATGAACTTCCTTCTAGACTATCTTCCTGACTGCTCTTATAGCTTTCATGCTTATGAAAGTGAGACATAGTTTTTATAACATTACTTAAATACGTGCGAGGACCCAACAAAGTAAATCAGGAACCAAGTGACTTGACATAGTCTCAGTTTCAAGGAACATTATGCAGGACAGGTACTGTAGGTGCCATACTACCCCACTGGGCCTTAGAGGAAGCCAGCGGAAAGTGGGCAGTCTGACACACTGCCTTCGTGTGTGACCGCCACTTGGATGTGCATTGCACAGGACATCCCACTATTTGACTTTCTACATATTGTACATGTAGAAACATGAGACTTGATGGATGAAATGGTACTGAAGTGTGCAGAGTAGTCCAGATATTCATATATGTTGTGCCTAGAGCCAGGAAATAAAAGGAATTGCCTCAACTTGCCCCTTCCGGGAGCCTGAAAAATAGGGAATAGGGAATTGGGAAACATTGAAATTTTAATGGAATTTGCATTTAAACTTTGAGAAGATTTTCAGGGCTTGTTCTTTCATGACTCAGCAATATCCCTGTCACTGAGACCCTGCTTTGGGCTTCCATGTCACCGTCCCTATCATCCTGTGGATCGCGTGCTTTCGGGAAGTTGGCTGTCCTGTGCCTTCTCTCAGGGAACAAACCTCTGAAATGTGTCTGGGGCAGATGAGGTGTGGTTCTGGGGAGAAAATAGTGAAGGATGGGGAAATAAAAAAGCTAAGGAGCCCTCCTTCCCCTCCTTGCCTGCTGGTCCCCATAACCTTGAAGAAACCTCACTCCCTGAGAATAGGACAGAGGCTGCCACGTGTACTCTTGTTTTGTGGGGGGGGGGAATAGGCAGCCCTTCCCTTTTCTGAGGGGTTGGAGGGAGGGGAGGCCAGGCTAACCCTAAGGTGCATCTGGGACTCTCCACAGCGCTGGGGACCACTTTACTTTTTGACAGAGGAGCACAATTGAGTCTGAATGTAGGGTCTCTGGGCAGCAGATTGAGTGCTCTGGGCAGCGTGAGGGTCCCCAACAACCGGCTAGAATTGCCAGGAGCTGGGCTGGTGTGTATTTGATTCAAAGAGACAGAGGCTTAGGCAGAGGGAGAGAGGAGTCATCTCATTACATGTGGAAGGTCTGGGGTTAGAGCTACACTTCCTATTGTCATATACTTCCTACTTCTGCTTTATATTTTTACATTATAATTGCATCATAGAAATTTTAGAGTACATTTGGGGGGGTGTACCAGGGATCAAACTCAGGACTTTGTACATGCTAGCCAGACTCAGCGCCACTGAGCTAAATCCCTGGCCCTAGAATATACTTTAAAATGTCTAGCTTAGCCAGGTGTGGTGGCTCATGCCTGTAATCCCAGCGCTTGGGAGGCTGAGGCAAGAGGATTGCTGTGAGTTTGAGACCAGCCTGGGCTACATAGTGAGTTCCAGGTCAGTCTCAACTACATGGTGAGACCCTGTCTCAAGAAAAAAAAAAAAAATGTCTCCCTTGAGCCTGCCATCTTCATACAATCAGCATTGTCATTTTGGTATACACCCATTCAATCTTTATTCGTACCCTTCTTTTTCTGCCATTGTAACGGTGCTACTGCATATAGTTTCTATTCTTATCTTTCCTCATTGACATTGTATTATAGGTATGTGCCTTTTAATAATTTACTCCTCTTTAAATAAGAATAAAATGAAAACAGCAAAGTACAAGAAGTATATAGTCCTAAGCGCAGAAACCAATGCATTTGTTCATATGTGTTCCACCATCACATCCCATCATGCCCCTTCTGAGTTAATCTGTTCTCCCACCCCTAGCAGAACATAGTTACTAATGGCCCTAGGGCATCCCTCAGCTGGCTCTCTGGTAATGTACTGAACTGTTTTCCTATTGCTGAGCAATTAGTTCACTTTCAGTAGTACATTATTACAAGTAAGATGTGCCTTGCAGCAACATTTCTGCCTTTAGAGGATATCTAGAAGGGAGATTTCATCTGCAAATGATCAGCACATGTCTGTGGAAGCTCAAAAATTCCATAACCATTTATTTGGTTTAGGAGCCAGGCTGAACCTTTTATTGTTTTTGAGGAAGGCAGAGATGGAGAGGGAAAGATTCGTTTTGGAGCTCTCCTTTTGCTTCAAGGTGTATCTGTGTGGGGAAAGACAATTTATAGCCTTTATTTAAAAAAAAAATCCTGGCTACTGCTTTCTCTGGTGCTTGAAGGGATGTGTGGTTGGCAGAGAGGACAAAGGGAAGGATTTGGTTGTGGCCCGAGAAGGCACAGTGAGAGGAGAAAGGGCACGTAGAGCAGTGGAGCTAGTCTTGTTTGAAAGCCAGGAACTATTGGCTTTTCCCTCCAGTGTGAACCAGAAATGAAATGTTTGGGTCTGACCAGAAGGAAGGAGTAACGCTGGAAATAGAGTGAGCAGGCTGGTGAGGGGACTGTGTCACACAGAAGAGGGAGTTGGTGGAGTGGAACTATAGCTTCCCAAGCTGGGAGGAGGCTGCAGTTTGCTGGTTGGAAGGCAGGTGGGGGATAGAAAAAGGGATGCTGTCTTCGGATTAATGCAACTGGGGTATTTGGCCCGGACTCAGCAGTTATATTAAATTTCTCAAAGCACATTCCAGAGCAGAATAGAGGCTGTGTTTTGCTGGTTGGCTGGTGTTCAGGAGGCTGCTCCGTAGATGGGATTACGAAGGCATGGTCTACATTTGGAGGAAAGGCTGGGCAGGGGCATGCTGGTAGCACACACGCTCAGCATTTAAGGCCGCGTCTTCCTCTGGCCTCTTCTGCACGCCTTCATATGTCCTTCCCCGCACAAAGCAATCGCTCTTTAGCCTATTTGGCAATGTGCTGCTGCCTGGCCTACCTCTTAGAGGCCACTCTGAATTTTAGACAGTGGGGCCAAGGACCTGCCTTGGATTCAGGGGTGTGGGGGTGGGGCTCTAGAGATGCTTCCTGGCCCAAACCTCTGTTACTTCAATGTTTGGGGCTGAAAGTCCACTTAGATGTCACTCTGTCCTGGTCATACCAGTTTGTTTTTTGGTAAAATGGAGCCAGATACCGAGAGCTGCTTGAGTCTCACCTGTGCACCCTCCACACCTCTAGTATGGTTGTGTGCATGGCAGCACCTTCATTCTTCGTAGATGCCCCCATTTCACTCTCTTCTTGATGATTTTTTCTTTCCTGTTAACACAAACTTTATTTTTTGATAATTGTTTCTTGCTCCTAAGGCCTCATTTCAGATAACCTTATCCAATTCTTGCCTTTTGGAATACTGATGACTTTGATCTCTTCCCTTCCATTTATTTTATTTCTTTTCCCAAGCTTTACCCCAGCCAGCCAGCCACTCCGTGTGGCTCAAATACTTCCACTGTGCTCCTGAACCAGCAGCAGACATCACCGGGGGACCCCAGTCCTGCTGTCGAGATTCTTAGTGCAGCATAACAAGTCCTCACCAGGGCCCATCAGAACTGGCATATGATGTGAAGAGCGTTCTCTATCCCTACCTCTAATGCCCCCCATTTAAATAAACTCCATCACAAAACTTTACTTTTACCTTTTTCTAGTTTTTATTAGTTCTCTCAGCTCTTCTATCATCCCTAGGCCCAGTTCTACTAGGAAATAAAATAAGTGCTGAGTAGTCACCTACCCATAATTCTAACTCTGAGAATTTTAGTCTTCAAGCTTTTGTGAAGTCTTAAGTACACTGATGTAACTGTGATGAGATCTGCTGCCCTCCATAAGACCCTGTAGCATGACGACCAGGCATGTACCACCTGACTCACCCTTTGTTTGGCTGCAGAGATCAACAGGTAGAGGCTGACCTAAAAGAAAGTGCTCTCCCTAAGGAGACGTCTCCTTTACTCTGTGACCTTGAGAAAAGATCAGAAGGGGACAAGGAACCCTTTGTTACCCTCACTTAATTTAACCCACCAAAGAAATGAAGAGCCAAATGAATATAACATAAAAAAATAAGAAACTAAAATTTCATATCCTGGGTTCAAGTTCTTGCTTTGCCATGTATGAGTCGCATGACTCTGGGTAAGTCACTTAATCTCTCAGATTACCACAGTTGTGAAATGAGTGCAATAACTTACATTACTAGGCTCAGGAGGATCAAGCGAGGGAATATATGGTAGTAGTGTTCTGAAGCATGTTAAGAATTGCAGAATTTACTTGTTGGCTCATTTGGTCAGCAAGTATTTGAGGAGCACTTCCTTGCAGAAGGCCCTGGGG